GTTCTCCCACACCCCCTCCGATATCCAACATTTTCCTCTTTTGTCACATTAGCCACTCTGATAGTTATGAGGTGGTACCTCAGAGTTGTTTCAGTTTGCATTTCTCTGATTTAATTAAGTTTTGATTTATTTGTCTGAAAACTGCCAGTTCAATCAATGACATATTTCTTTATCAAGTAATGACTTGAATTCTTATAAATTTGAATGAATTGTCTATATTTTTTTAAAAAATGAAGCCTTTATCAAAGATACTTGTTGCAAATTCCCCCCCACCCAGTTTTCTGCTTTCCTTATAATTTTGGTGACATTGGTTTTGTTTGTGCTAAAACTTTTTAATTTTACATAATCAAGATTACCTGTTTTACATGTTGTAATGCTCTTTATATCATCTTTGGTCTTAAATTCTTCTCTTATCCATAAATCTGACAGATAAACTATTCCACACTTTCAATTTGCTTATGGTATTACCATTTATGTGAAAATCATGTACCCATTTTGACCTTATCTTAGTATATGATCTATATTGTGGTCTATACTTAGTTTCTGCCATACCGTTTTCCAGTTTTCCCAGCAGTCTTTGTCAAATAACACATTTTTGTTCCAATAGCCTTAGATGTTTGGGTTTATCATAAACTAGATAACTAGTCATTTATAGTCATTTACTATAATGTAATTTGTATCTAGTCTATTCCATTGATCCATCATTCTATTTCTTAGCCAGTACCAGATGGTTTGGATAATTACTGCTTTATAATACAGTTTGAGATCTGGTACAACTAGACCACCTTCTCTCACATGCCTTCCCCACCATTGGTTCCCTTGATATTCTTGAGCTTTTGCTCTTCCAGATGAATTTTGTTATTTTTTCTAGCTTTGTACAATAATGTTTTGATAGTGTGATTGGCATGGCACTGAATAAATACATTAATTTGGGTAGAATTGTCATTTTTATTAAATTGGCTTCACCTACCCATGAGTAGTTAATATCTTTCCAATTGTATAGATCTGACTTTATTCACATGAAAAGTGTTTTATGGTTGTGTTCATACAGCTCCTAGGTTTGTCTTGGCAGGTAGACTCCCAAATATTTGATATTATCTGTAGTTATTTTAAATGGAATTTCTCTTTCTATCTCTTGTTGCTGGACTTTGTTGGTAATATATAGAAATGCTAATGATTTCTGTGAGTTGATTTTGTATCCTACAACTTTGCTAAAGTTGTCAATAATTTCAAGTAGTTTTTTAGTTGATTCTCTAGGATTTTCTAAGCATAACATCATGTCATCTGTGAAGAGTAATAGTTTTGTTTTCTCATTGCCTATTCTAATTCCTTTGATTTCTTTTTCTTCTCTTATTCTTATAGCTAACATTTCTTGTACAATATTAAAAAATAGAGGTGACAATTGGCATCTTTGCTTCACCCCTGAGTATATTGGGAAGGCTTCCAGCTTATCCCCATTACAGATAATGTTTGCTGATTGTTTTAGATAAATATTACTTATCATTTTAGGGTAAGCTCCATTTATTCCTACATGCTATAATGTTTTGGTAGGAAGGTGTGCTGTATTTTGTCAAAGGCTTTTTCTGCATCTATTGACATAATCATATGATTTCTGTTGGCTTTGTTATTGATATTGTCAGTTAGGCTAATAGTTTTCCTAACACTGCACCAGTCTTGCATTTTGGGTACAAATCCCACCTGGTCATAGTGTATGAGCCTTATGATGTACTTCTGAAATCTCTTTGCTAGTATTTTATTTAAATTTCTGTGTCAATATTCATTAGGGAAATTGGTCTATAATTTTCTTTCTCTGTGTTGGCTCTTCCTGGTTTAGGTATCAGCACCATATTTGCATCTTAAGAGGAATTTGGTAGAACTCCTTCCTTGCCTATTTTTCCAAATAGTTAATATAATATTGGGATTAATTGTTCTCTAAATGTTTGGTAGAATTCACTTGTGAATCCATCTGGTCCTGGGATTTTTTTCTTAGGAAGTTCATTGATGGCTTGTTCAATTTATTTTTCTGGGACTGGGTTATTTATTTTATTTCTTCTTCTGTTAATCTGGGTAATTTATATTTCTGTAGATATTCATCAATTTCATTCAGATTATCAAATTTATTGGCATATAATTGAGCAAAATAGCTCCTAACAATTGTCTTAATTTCCTCTTCATTGGTGTTGATGAATTCACCCCTTTCATTTTTGATACTAGTCATTTGCTTTTCTTCTTTTCTTTTTAAAAATCAAATTAGCCAATGGTTTATCTATTTATTTTATCTATTTATTTATGAAACCAGCTTCTAGTTTTATTTATTAGTTCAGTGGCTTTCTTACTTTCAAGTTTATTAATCTCGCCTGTGAATTTCAGGATTTCCAATTTGGTGTTTAATTGGGGATTTTTAATTTGTTCTTTTTCTATTTTTTTAGTTGTTATGTTGAGTGGGCCATTCTTCCCAGCTCAATGGCCAATCCTCTTTGACACCACTCCCACTACCCCCCAAGGAATCAAGCAGAATCCACTGGCCAATCATTTCCTTTAGGAAGGGAGCTAAAACATGGGCTCATCCCCACATGTGCTCCATGGGATACCACCTTCCCCCAGACCCCAGTCTAGAAGATCAGGTGGATTCCCCCAATTACTTCATGAACTGTACATATGCATATATTGGCAGCTATATGGCACAGCGGATAGTGCACCAGGCCTGAAGTCAGGCAGACCTTAGTTCAAATCTGACCTTGGGTATTTACTAGCTGTATAACCCTGGGAAAGTCACTTACCCAGCTTGCCTCAGTTTCCTCATCTGTAATATGAGCTGGAGAAGGAAATGGCAAACCAATCCAGTATCTTTGCCAAGAAAACCTCAGATGGGTTCATGAAGGGTTGGGCACAACTAAAACAACTGAACAACAACAAATGCAAATAAACATATATATTCATAATGTGCCAGTAAAGGTGCTTTGTTTAGATTCGGTTCAGCTGAAATAAAGAAGGTCCTTGTTTTTGTTTGCCTTTCTTACCTTCGTTGTAGGGAGTCACAGACCAATGGAAAGAAGGCTATAATTTAGGTTGCATCTCATAACTAAAATAAGGCACTGCTTGGCCACCATAAGGCATGACTGTGTATTTAAACAATAACCACTGGGGTACTTGGTGTTTCCTGTCAACTAATGACTAACTGGAAAGAGTAGATGCTCCAGCCTGTCATTAATCCCCAGGAAATGGCCCACCCTTGAGTAGGCTGCTGTGGCTATTTTAAGGCATCAAGGTTGGCAGCTTGATTGGAGTCTCAGGTGACACTGGTTTCAGCATTGCCTGGTGAGAAGGAGAGTAAATGAATGCCCCCCAGTATTGGTCATATAGTCTGCCTTAAATGTAATGAAAATGGCTTTAGAAAGTCTTTCCTGGAAGGTGAACAAATCAGTTATTAAGGTCTATGGAATGCTAGAATTTAGGATATATCTAGTCAGCCCCAGCCCTCTGATCATGTTTGACCTGCCCCATGTCCTTCCCACCCCACCCCCATCTTCATGCCATACTCTTCAAACCACAGTCCTGAGACCATGCCCTGGAGGAACTGAGCCGATCAGCTTCAGAGCTCCTGCCCTGGGGCTGTGCAGTCCTAGTTGGTAGCTGTTGGCTGTTCTTGACCCCATTTGGGGTTTTCTTGGCAAAGATGCTGGAATGGTTCACCATTTCCTTCTTCAGCTCATTTTTACAAATGAGAAAACCAAAGCAAATAGGGTTAAGTGACTTTCCCAGGGTCACACAGCTGCTAGTAAGTGTCTGAGGCTAGATTTGAACTCAGGAAGATGAGTCTTCCTGATTCCAAGCCCAGTGATTAATCCAGTGATTTAGCTGCCTGGGCATGAATACACTGAAACATATTACCAATGATAACTTGCCCACAAAAAAGGCATAAAAACGTTAACCCAGAACACATATGAGCACAAAAACACATAGGCTAGTTGCCGGTTAATCCATGGATGCACAATAAAAACCCTCAAATATACTCATTGACCACAGCCAGGTGGGGCAGTGGCTATAGGTTTGGGCCTGGAGTAAGGAAGACCTGTGTTCAAATCTAGCCTCAGCCACTGGTCACCATGACACAGGGCGAGTTACTTAACTTCTGTCTGCCCCAGCTTCCTTATCTATAAGATGGGGATAATAACAACACCTACCTCTTAGGGCTGTTGTGAGGATCAAATGAGATAATATTTGTGAAGTGCTTTGCAAACCTTAAAGTGATATATAAATGTCAGCCATGATTATTATGGTGAATTATCAACATCCCACAAAATTCAGAAGAGCCAAACCACAACTGTAAAGACAGGTGGAGTAAGTGTCCTGTGTCAGCAATGATGCCTCTCTCTTTTTTCCCCCCAATTTTATTAATTTATTGATTTATCAACAATCACTTCCATATGCTTTTGAGTTACAAATTCTTTTCCCCCTTCCTCTCCCCCACCCTCCCCAAGACAGCACACAATCTGATATAGGCTTTACATTTACATTCCTATTAAACATATTTTCACATTAGCGAAGTTGTAAGTAAAAATTAAAACCAATAGGAGGAACCATCAGAAAGAGGAAACAAAACTCAACGGAAGGTAAAAATAAGTGACAGCGATTCGACTTCCATAGTTCTTTCTTTGGATGTGGACAGCATTTTCCATCCTGAGGCCTCTGGAGATGTCTTAGATCCTTGTAATGCTGAGAAAGGTTCAGTTTAACATATTAGTCATCACATAACGTGGCTGCTATTGTGTACAAAGCCCTCTTGGTTCTGCTCACTTCACTCAGCATCAGACCATATAGGTCTTTCCAGGATTTTCTGAAGTCAGCCTGTTCATCATTTCTTATAGCACAATAGTATTCCATTACATTCATATACCACAACTTGCTCAACCGTTCCCCAATTGATGGGCAGATGATGTCCTCTCTCAATGGGTCTGATATTGATAAGGGTTCAGCGGTTTCCTTTTGCTCCCATGCAGTACAGGATCGCCATGCAGAATGGAACTCTGGATGGCAGCAGCATGGAAGGGGGCTCCCAGCGTGGCCCGCTGACCCCTCCTAACACGCCGGACCCCCGGAGCCCACCCAACCCAGAAAACATCGCACCAGGTAAAGAGCTGTCACCTACAAGAAAGGTGCGGGGAGCCTGTATTCTTCTTGCTAAACTGGGGGGCTTTCCCATCAGATCTTTCCCTTTTAGCAGCATTTTAAACTGTAAGCCCAATCCAGACATGGGTTATTGGGGCCAATTCTCTCTAGATTCCGGCATCGTACTTTTAAAAAAATTCAGTCAGTATTCACATTGATACATCCTTTATGTAATAAGAGATAGCTTTTACATTGTGCTCTAAGGCTTGCGAAAGTGTTTTTCAAGTATCATCTCATTTGATTTGGGGAGGCCGGGTGTAACAGTGGGTAGAGAGCCCACCCTGAAGCCAGGAAGACTCATCTTCCTGAGTTCGGCTCTGGCCTCAGACATGTACTAACTGTGTGACCCTGGGCCAGTCACTTAACCTTGTTTGCCTCAGTTTCCTCATCTGTAAAATGAGCTGGAGAAGAAAATGGCAAACAACTTCAGCATCTCTACCAAGAAAACTCCAAATGGAGTCATGAAGCATCAGACATGACTGAGAAACAACTGTTTTACAAATGAGGAAACTGAAGCTAAGAAATTAAGTAATGTGCCTTGGGTCACACAAGTAATAAGTGTCTGAGGCTAGACTTGAACTCAGGTCTTCCTGACTCCGAGTTCAGTACTTTGTCCACTCTAATACCTGAATCACTTCACATATTCTCAACCGCTCTCCTGAATCCTGGGGAGGACTCATAAACACAAATATACTATCCCCATGGGAATGCACGCTTGGGTATGAAATAAAACGAAAAGCAAACCCATGCTCTATGAATGGACATTAATTGGAAATGTTAGTGAAATCTGAAATCTGAAGGCTTTTACCCTATTGAAATCCCAATCTAACTCATTTACTAAGTGCCTTCCCTATGCAAGGCAACTGGGGAAACAAAGTCACCAAAAAATGTCCCTGCCTTAGGGGCAGCTAGGTGGCTAAGTGGATAGAGCACTGGCCCTGAAGTCAGGAGGACCTGAGTTCAAACCAAACACTTGACACTTTCTAACTGTGTGACCCTAAGGCGAGTCACTTAACCCCAATTGCCTAAAAAAAAATAAAATAAATAAAATCTCTGCCTTCAAGGAGTCCCCATCACTTGCTACTAAGGAAAGACCACCTGAAGCGAGTGATTTGTCCATGTTCCTTCATACGGATGCTAAGTGTCTGAGAAGGAATTTGATCCCAGGTCTTCCTGACCCCAAGTCCAAGGCTCTCTCCCATGCTGTTCATTGTTCTTAAAAACAAGGAAAGGGCCATAGACATGGAACAAGTGGTCCAAGAGAGCCAAGATAGAGTGAAGCCGCACAGGCATTGGAACAGGCCAAGTTGCATTAAAAAGATACCTTTTAAGATGAAAGATGGAAGGAGAAAAGGAAGGGAGGGAGGTGGGAGGGAGGGCAGAAGGGAAGCACTGAAGATAAAGAGTTTTCTCTAAGTCCCAAGTTCTCGCCACCCAAAACTGGACAACGTGGGAGTGGAATCAAGTCTATTCTTGACTTCCTGTGGCCTTCCTTCCCAAATACACTGAACTCCAGATTTACACCCAATTTCTTTGTCATGCCTTTTCTGTTGCATTTATGACTTTTCATTTTCTCTTTTTGGGTGGAGGACAGATTAAGGCAGTGTGGTTTAGTGGAAAGGTTGCTGGATCTAGGCACCAAGAAGACCCAAGTTCAAATCCCACACCACATCCTTCCTGGCTGTGTGACCCTGAGCGGGACGCTAAGCTCCTCAGAGTCTGTCTTCTCCCCCGGAAACTTCCACACCATAACAATCCCCACCGAGGCTCTCCTCTCCACCCTTTCCCCATGAGAACTTTAGACTCCGCCCCTGGAACCACCCTTGGCTCTAATCAATCAACTCTGGCCTTATCCTGTGGGCATCCAAGCCTCCACAGCATCTAGGAAGGCCATATTGCATCCCCTTTTCAGCTCCCTTCTGATGTGTTGTCTTCAGCTTCTGATAGGCAGGGACTGCCTTGTTTCTTTATATTGTCTCCTCAGTACTTAGCATAGTGCCTGGTACACAGTAAGGGTCTACTAAATGCTTTCAAATTGAGGCCTGTTAAAGACCTTAGCTTAAAGAGGCCAAGGTCTCCCACTGCACCCTGGGCCCTCTCCAGTCATCCTGATCTATATCTGGCCACCAGACCCAGATGGCTCCAGAGGAGAAAGTGAGGCTGGTGACTTTGCACAGCCCTGCCTCCCTTCAATCCATGGCATCACCTCCCTGGTGTCATGGTCCTCTTTGAGAATGAAGGAGAAACAATAGCCAACAAGCACAATAAATGCTTTATCTCTCTATGGCCATCTACCTCTCTGAAATAGGGTTAATTCTACATCCAAGAACCGCCATGAACTCGTGACGAGATGACGGACATAAAGCAGCTTTCAGACTTGGAGCCGTCAGCTGTAAGCGAGCAGTCAATGAGCAGTCAGCACAGGTCCGAGCAGTGCCGGACACAGGGAGATTCCAAGAGGTCTAGAGGCCAACAGACCCTTCCCTCGAGGGACTGCCGATCTAATACAAGAGAAAGGCAAACACATGAGCTAGACCGAGCAGACGTAGCATGCATGATCGACTGATTAGAGCCAAGGGCGGTTCCAGGGGCGGAGTCTAAAGTTCCCGTGGGGAAAGGGGGAGAGGAGAGCCTCGGTGGGGATTGGTATGGTGTGGGAGCTTCCGGGGGAGAAGACAGACTCTGAGGAGCTTAGCGTCCCGCTCAGGGTCACACAGCCAGGAAGGATGTGGTGTGGGAGTTGAACTTGGGTCTTCTTGGTGCCTAGACCCAGCAACCTTTGCACCAAACCACTGCCTCAATCTGTCCTCCACCCAAAAAGAGAAAATGAACAGCCACAAACGCAACAGAAAAGGTTATTACCTATGTCTAAGGATGGGGATAAGGGATTGGACCTGGGATTTTGGGAGTACAGGGAGTACTCACTCAGGGAAATTCCCTCTACCCATGGGGCTTTCTGCCTCCTTCACAAATTTCTGGTCTTCGAGTGGCCCAGGGTCCTTCAAGGAGAAGTAACGTGCTTAGGTTCACACAGACGTTATGTGTCAATACACACCCTATGATCTAGACCAAAGGGTGGAGTGGGGAGACCAGGCACAGGCAGTGGGGCATCCCAAACCTTGTTATCAGGTAAAACAACATGAAAATGAGTGTTCGGGAGCAGAGGGTAATCAACAGTGTGAAATGCGGCAGAGGATGCAGCCTGGAAAAGACCATCAGATTTGGCCTTTCCACGTAAGATATTGGAATTGTTGTTCAGTAATTTCTGGCTCTTTGTGATCCCCTTTGGGGTTTTCTTGGCAGAGATACTGAAGTGGTTAGCCGTTTCCTTTTCTGGTTCACTTTACAGATGAGGAAACTGAGGCAGACAGGGTTAAGTGACTTGCCCAGGGTCACAAAGCTACTAAATGTATGAGGCGGATTTGAAATCAGGTCCTCCTGACTCCAGGGCTGGCATTCTATCTCACCACCTAACTGTCCTGTATGATGCTTTACAATTAATTATTCACTGCTCCAAGCGTCATCAAAGAATTTTTAGCACAAACTCCTCTGGCCAATATAATGAACCCCCAAGGAGTTCACGGAATCCCTGGGCCCCAAGGCCTTCTAGGTCTGTGATCTTGTAATTTAGGAGTGTTGGAAAAGGAGATGGGCATTGGTTAGTGGAGAGTATCCTGTGAATTAAAAATATCTCTTTCATCCATAATTTTACATAATTGTTTTTCCCTGTGTGTCTATATATATTTATTCTTTCCAGATCTTGTCTTAGAGGTATAGCCTATACTTGAGAGTGAAGCCAAAGTATATATGTCAAGTTCCCAACTTGGTGCTGGGTAGAAGGTGCAGACATGAGTAAGGCACACACAAGGAATTCCTCATTGGGCAGGGGGTTCAATTAGTATGAGCTGGGATAACTGTCACAATAAAAGAAATGATGTAAAGGTAGTTCTGACTGGGAGGGTGAAAGAAGGCTTCATGGAGCAGGTGAGTTTTGAGTCGGCCTTTATGCATGAGCAGGACTGTGACAGGCAGAAAGATTTTCAGATAGAGGGAATCACATGAGCAAAGGTGTGTAGGCAGGAAAGTATTGTGAATATTCTTAGCATGATGAATAGTTGAGTAGTTACTGCTCTCCTGAACACATCATGTAGGAAGAATAGTTAGTAATTTTACAAAACTGAGCAGAGAACAATGGGAGCCCCAAGAAAGGATGGTAATTCTGTGGAATGCAGGCCAGTGGGTGCGAGAATTAGCATGACTTCAACAGAATTGGCTCTGCCTGGCCCTGGCAAGGTGAGGGCACAAACACCCCAGTTACTAGTAACACAGGGAGTAAATGTTTAAGAACCAGCTGGGGGGAGGGGTGTATGCATGACACACTTAAGTTTAATGTGGATTATTAACAATTTTCTCCATCACTTTAAGTCTAGATGATCAAAAAAACAATGAATCAAGCCTCCATTTGTAGCATTTGCTGATTTCTCAGGTGTAAATCTCACACCAGAAATTTAACAATCCATCCAAGCTGGTCAGAGCTGACTCCAGGACATCTTTGCTACTAGGATGATGTAGAAATGTCAAGGCCAGCAGTCAGAAAAAGAAAGAAGTGACCCGGTGAAGGGAGCAGCAATCAGTGGGGTTCAAACTCAAATGCAGACTGAAGTTGGGGGGAGGGGGATGATTCAGACCATGGCTCAAAGATCTAGAACTGAAAAGGACAGGCCAATATCCTCATTTTACTAAGGAACCTCAGACCCATTAAGCAGCTTGTGCACAATAAGTGGGCATTAAAAGTAGGATCTGAACCCCAATCCTCTGGCCCTCCAAGAAAGCTAGGTGAAACAGAATAGAGAGTCCTGAGCCTGGAGTCAGGAGGACCTGAGTTCAAATGCAGCCTCAGGCTCTTACTAGCTGTGTGACTGTGGGCGAGTCATGTAGTCGCTTCTGCCTCTGTTTCTCAACTGTAAAAAGGAACAATAATAGCACCTATTTGCCAGAGTTGTTGTGACAGGTTGTTGCTTGAGCTTTTTAAAATTATTTTAATTTTTAAAAATCTTAAATATTTTATTTTTTAAATTACATGTGAATTTTTCAACATCTGTTTTTTTAAATGTTAAGTTCCAAATAATCTCCCTCCTTCCCTGCACGGCTCATTGAAAAGGCAAGCAATTTGATATAGGTTATACCTGTGTAGCTAAGGGATGCAGCGGATGGAGCGCTGGGCCTGGAGTAAGGAAGCCTCATCTTCCTGAATTTAAATCCGGCCTCAGACATTTACTAGCTGTGTGACCCTAGGCAAGTCACTTAATCCTGTTTGCCTCTGTTTCCTCATCCCTCATCCCTAAAGAGATCTGGAGAAGGAAATGGCAAACCACTCCAGTATCTTTGCCAAGAAAACCCCAAATGGAGTCATGACATCAGACATGACTGAAAAATGACTGAACGATAACAAATACGTGTGCAGTTATACAAAATATATTTCCATATTAGTCACGTTGTAAAAGAAAACACACACATACACACAAAAATAAGAAAAAAAAAAGTTTAAAAAAGTACGGTCCGATCTGCATTCAGACTCCATCAGCTCTTTCCATTGTGAGTCCTTTGGAATTGTCTTGGATGACCGTATCTCTGAGAATAGCTGTCATTCCCAGCTGGCCATCATGTGGTGTTGCTGTTACCGCGTCCAATGTTCTCCTGGTTCTGCTCATTTCACTTTGCAAGAAATAACATTTTTAAAGTGGCACATAGTAGGTACTTAATAAATGCTTATCCCCTTCCCTTCCCTGCCCTCTCTCCCGTGTTCTTTTGGGACTTGGGATAAGTGCTCATCTGAAAACAAGCCCAAAATCCCAGAATGAGGTTGTCATAGATTTAGAACGTGAAGGGTCATCTAATCCAATCCCTCATTTCATAGGAAGAAGGTGGATGGATGGGAACAAGACTTTATGAAGGGCCTACTACGTGTAAAGCTTAATACACACTGCACCAAGGCCTGAGATCTCACAGGTGACAAGTCAGAGAACCAGGATCTAAGCCAGGACTGTAACTTGGGCCTTAGGATCTCAAATCCAGCGCTGTTACCTTCCCACCACACCATCCCTCTCACACCCAACAGTCCAGAACAATGTCGTAGACTGACAGCTCACTCCACTAGTGCACATTTTTGAACTTCTTTTACAATTGATTTGTGAATGCCAGCCACAAACTCTTAAAGGGACACTTCCATTCGGTACAGGAGCATGCCAGAGAGTCGGCACTTGAAGTTAGAAGCAACTGAGAGCATCTTAAAGTTTCGGAGCAGGGGACCGATGAGATTTGTGGAAAAGGAAAGGTTATTGTGTGAAGGACGTCAGACCTCCTTGGATCATATTACTGGAATACTGCTAGGTAGGGCTGTGGAAAGTACTTGAAAGCATTTTCTATTCCCCCATCCCTTCTGGGAGGGGCAGAGCTGAATCTTACCCAAGATTCTCCAAATCTACCCTCCCCCCTTCCTTATCACGGAAAGACAAGGGGCTTGGAGATTTAATTGGACACACCCAGTTACACCAATTTGCTTGGGGGGTGGGCAATAGAATTGATTTTCTATCTCATGGCATTTATATCAGACACAAAGTTATTAATACAATCACAGCAGTCACAATCTCTGACTTCTATACATTTTGGAAAAAATCAGGCTATGGTAAACTCTCAGCGGGGAAAAAAATAATAATAAAAGTAAGCAGAGTATAGTCCAATGCCCAATAATAGAGAAGGGAGGAGAAGCTGGGGAAAGCACTTTCTTTTGGAACGTCCCTCAGTCCTTGAAGAAGGGCATCTGACTTCAGTCCAAGTGCTCTGTTCTGAGATGTCTGCAGGGCACAGTGGCCCACCTTGATCTCGGCCTCCTCTTCCAGGCTCAGCTGTCTTTTCAGTTTTTCCTTTTGCTTGTGCCTATGTCATGCATTCTTTCCATCTCTGGCTTCTTAAGGTCTAAGCAGGGCCAGGCTAGGGCGGCTCCCCACAGCTGTTGTTACCACAGCTCCTTCCTCTCTGTCTGTTCTCTGTCAGGCTGTAGGGCTCTTTTTTTAAACTCCCAGGCAAGACTCAGGTCCCCTTTCTGGCTTAAAGATTATGATACTCCAAAACACTCATGGGGAAGTCTCATCCCTTTGAACCACAAACCCCAGAATGCCATCCCATTTTCAAAGGCCTAGTCTACAGCCATAGAATGTTGGAGCAGGCAGGGGTCAGAAAGACCATTCTGCAAGGCAAAGTCCTTCATTTTGCTGTTTGTCCTTCATTCTCAAAGAGGACCATGACCTCAGGGAGGTGATGCCGTGACTTGCAAGTGAACTGGACTTAAGTGAGGGAGGGCTGTGGGCCCCGATGGGCTCAGAATGAATGTAAATAGCAATTGTTTCTGGTTTGGCCCTTACCGAAAGGGAAGAGGAGGTCAAGAGAGAGTGTGAGGAAGAAGCCAGAGGCTAGAACTTTTTTGTAGGAATAAGAGAAACGGGGAATGATAGAATAGGAGATGGATTTTGGGTGACTACTTCAATGTGGGATGCTCCTGGTATGGAAACAATCTCGTGTGTTGCAAATTTCCTCCTCATCTGTGTCTTAGAGTTTCCTTGGGTACTGGGAAGTTTTGTCCATGGTCACCCAGCTCATAGGTATCAAAGGCAGGACTTGAACCTAGCTCAGGGGTGGCAACCATTGGCCTCGAGGCCACCATGGCCATCTAGGTCCTCAAGTGTAGCCCTTGACCTAATCCAAATGTCACAGAACAAATAGTTTGGATTCAGTCAAAGGGCCGCACTTGAGGACCTAGAGGGCCACATGTGGCCTTGAGGTTCCCCACCCCTGACCTAGAGGCCCTGATCCCATGGTTAGCCCTCCACCCAACACACGATACTGCCTCTCTGGGCAAGGGGCAAGAAGAGTAGCCAATCTTTAGGGAGCTTTTCCAATCTAAAAAATCAAAAATAAGCTAAGTTAGAAAAATGGTGCCTAATCAAAATTAAATTGAAATTAATACAATTTCTTCTCTTGCATAGTACAAATATGTTATTATAACCGATGGGTAAGGAATTTTTCGGCTTGGAATGATAATTTTTCAAGCTTGTATGTTAAGAAAATTAATCATTCTTTTAAATAAAATCCAGGAGTCTAATTTTTTTTTAAAATTATACCACTTTGGATTACAGTTTTCATGGAGAATCATAAACAGGATGTGTATTTCACAAGTTTATTCTAGCACCTTAAAAATAACACCATAAAATGTTCATTGTTGCCTAGCAACCCCCAGATATTCTGTGTTTGCTTTTTCTCATTCTGTTTTTCCAAAGGATACTCTGGCCCACTGAAGGAAATTCCTCCTGAGAGATTCAACACCACAGCTGTCCCTAAGTACTACCAGTCTCCTTGGGAGCAGGCCATCAGCAATGAGCCGGAGCTGTTGGAAGCTTTCTACCCCAAGCTCTTTAAGCCTGAAGAAAAGGCAGAACTCCCAGACTTCCGAAGCTTTAACAGGTAATACGCCTGTTGAGACCACCTATGTGGAATATCCATTTTTCACATCAAAGTGCAGAGAACAGAACACTCAACAGGAAAACATTTTTGAGCATCCCATTGAATGGGGGAGTGTTTGCCTTTTAGGGGTGTTCCCACAGGTAATCTGGACAGGAAAGGTGACAGGCAGAAGCACATTCGGATTCTGGGGCTCTGCCTCTAAGGCACAATCCTGGCTCGATTGAATGGTACTGTAGGTAAGAAAGGTCTCCCTTGTGGCGGGAGGTTTAGTGGGCAGAGACCCACAGCTAGTACAGCCCCCACCTTCCTGGGCAGGGCTCACTTGTGCCTCACAGACTCTAGGGGCGTGCTTTGCATTCATTCTTCCTGTATCAAGTAATGGAAACTTGCAGTTGAGAAGGGATTTCCACTTGCTTTCACTGCATTTGGGACTTCCAATTGGAATCTATGTCTGCTCTTCCTTCTCTGATACCTCAGTGGGACTCAGATATGTCTCCTCTCCCTTTACCGAGAGCCACACCTCTCCTCTAATGGCTCCTGATCTTACATTAGTTATAATAGACATTTAGTGACTGATGGATTTTCTTTCATATAAAATGGAATAAAATGGCAATGTAGCATAGGCTTTGAGCTTTCTCTCTCTCTGAAACCCAATACATGTTGGCAGACTGGGTCTCCAAAAGGCTATTTGGATTAGTTTTCCCTCAGTATTGTCATTTGTCCCCTGGCTATTTGTCCCCTCAAGGTTCTAGGGATAGGGGCAGCTAGGTAGCACAGTGGATAAGCTCTGGCCTTGGAGTCAGGAGGACCTGAGTTCAAATCCAGCCTCAGACACATGACACTCACTAGCTGTGTGACCCTGGGCAAGTCACTTAACCCCAACTGCCTCACCAAAACGCAAAAAAAAAAAAAAACAGATTCTAGGGAGAATTCTGAGAGGTTGTGTCAGGTATATGTGTGTGGCAGCCATACTACACGAGCTGACAAGCCTTGACCACTGTGTTTCCCTCTGTGGTTATGAGTTGATATCAATTAGTCAGCCAGACAATTAGCTTTTAGTCTTTGTAAAGGCAGTAAGAAGAACATCTGGCACAAATCCTTGCTCCAAGAATCTGGGGCACATTCTCCCACAGGTACCTACAGATTGCAAGGGAGAGTGGACCCTGGCTTAGGGCCCAGGCAACTAATAGGCAGCTCCCAGCCTCCGGCTTCTGGAAGGCCTCTTTCACCTCGTGGAGTCCTCATCAGGTCCTCTCTGGGCATGGGCTAGCTTTCTGAAGGGCCCCTTGAAGAGCCCTGAAACTGCCCCTCCTACGGGTGCCATCTGACTTCAGCTCTCATCGGAATGCTCTGGTCATTTACTACACATTTACTATGTGCCAATACCTGGGGACACAAATAGAGAAATAAGACAGATCCTGATCTCAGGAAGTCTTGGGGGGAGACAGCATGTGTAGGAAGGAGCAGCCTCTGGGTGGAAGGAAAGGCCAGAGGTCTCCTGAGGCTTGTCATGCATCACCACTTAACTTGGATTTAGGACACCTAGATTTAAATTCTGGATCTGATATTACTAACTATTATGGGGAAAATGGACAGTCTTTTTTTCAGAAGAGGAGAAACATGTCCGATTAATGGGCAGACAAACAAGGAAAAGAGAATACTGGCAAAAATAAAGCCATAGGATAATTAATAATAATAACAGCTAATGCTTAAACAGTGCTTCAAGACTTACAAAGCACTTTATACGTATCATCTCATTTGATTTGTGTGCACTAGAACTTATTAACTTTATGCAACAAAATGATGCCTTTTATCTTCTGTTAGCCTCTCAATAATCCCTGGTTTGGTCATGAACTTGTCTCCTATCCATAGATCTGATAGGCAAGGTTTTTTTTTTCCCCACGTTTCCCTAATTTGTTGGTATTCTGACCTTTTGTTTCTAGGTCATGCACCCATTTGGCACTTATCTTGGTATAAAGTGTACAATGCGGACCCAAATAGGCTCCCCAGCACTTCCAATCATCACAGATTAAAGTGCTCAAATATCAGTTAAATGCATTTAACAAGAAATCATTTGGCACTTGCTTATCTGAGTGAAACCTTATCTCATAAGGTTTCGGCTTCAAAGGGGAAATTTAGACATCACCCAGCTCAGGAATTCTTACCACGGGGTCCAGGACCTTTTTTTTTAAAAAAAAATATATTTTGATAACTATATTCCAATAGAATTGACTTCTTTGTAATTCTATATATTTCATTTTATGCATTTTCAAATTGTGATTCTGAGAAAGGGTCTTTGTAGACCTCCCCAAATTGTCCAAGGGGGGTCCATGACACAAAAAAGGCTAAGAACCCCCGATAGGGTCCAAGGCTCACATTTTACAGATGAGGAAATGGAAACCAAGAGAGGGGATGGCCGGGCCCAGGTTCACATAGGGGACTGCAGGTCCCCTCCCATCCCTCAAATCCCACCAGAGTCTAAAACTCAGTCTAATGAAGTCAACTCCAAGGATGTTTACTGCAAGGAGTCAGGGGTAGAGCTGTTAAACCAGGGAGCAAAAAGTGCTTGTGACCAAGGCCTTTGGTGGAAATTTTAGTCATATAAACTTTGGGTGCAGCTCATATCTGTTTGGTGAAACCTCACCCAGCCCCACAAGCTGTCTCATTCTGTCCCTGTTACAGTGTGTATCACACATGTGTTTGCTGCCAAGCCTCTGCCCAGTTCTGGGCAGTAAAAACAATGATGACTTCCAACAAAGGGGAAGCCAGTCCAAGCACATCAACATAACCTGTTAGGAAACAGCAAGAAAAGAAGTCTGGCAGCAGAGTTGGTATTGACCTAAACCCTACCTTCCCATAGCAATCTCATTGACTCAGTGGGGGAAATATTTTCTCATTTGAGAGATGGGAAAATAACAGCCCCAGGAGGGTGATGGGAATGATGAAGCAAAGATTGCTAAATGAAAAAAAATAAGCCCACGGGCCTCATTGCAGGGGTCAGGAGGAGGGATTAAATATTTCTTCCCTTTTGAGTGAATCTAGTAAAACAAAGATAAAAAAAATGTGTACATGTATATATATATATATATATATATATGTAAAATGTGTGTATACATATGTGTATACACATGTATATGTATACATATATGTATATACATGCATGTATGTGTGTGTTATGACCAATTAGATCCATGGATCGAATTCTGCTAAAAGACAGAAATATTCCATTCCCACCATTACAAAAGACAATTATCACAGAAACTTGTCAAGTTTCTAAAAAAGTAGTCATGGTATAGAGTAGTTGTTTTCAAAATATAGTATATGGACCCCTGGGGGTCCCCAAAACCCTTTGGAGATGGGGTTCCAAGAGGTCAAAACGATTTTCATGATACTGCAAGGATGACATTTACCTTTTCAAATTCTCCTCCCTTTTCCAACTCTATCTCTGTGTGAGGCCAGATTGTCTTCATATGCAGGGTGCATATACTTTTTTGTATGTCACAGGTATTCCCCTCCCCCCCTTTAATTTGGTAGCTTACTACCACACTAAGACTTTTGGGACACCTTGAGTTTCAACCAAAACAACGTCCCAACAAATTGAATGCCAAAGCAGCTACGAGTCCAGCTGTCTTCTATTAAGCCAGACAAAATCGATATTGGCAGACAAATATGGAAGAAAATGCTACTCTTCTCACTATTTTTTTTTGTTTTGGTAAATAGTTATTTTTCATTAAAAAAATGTCATTTATGTTAACTTGTAATGGGCTTATTACTTTTTAAAGAATTAATAAATATCTTTTAAAATGTATCAGTTTTCATTTCTAAAACAGCAAATGTTGATGGATATAACCCATATATACAAAAGCTTGTTGGAGGGGCTTCAATAATTTTTAAGAGATAAGAGGGTCAGGGCAGCTAGGTGGCACAGTGGATAGAGCACCAGCCTGAGTTCAAATCCAGCCTCAGACACCTACTAACTATGTGACCCTAGGCAAGTCTCTTAACCCCATTACCTCAACAATAACAACAACAACAACAGAGCCTAAAGGGGTCCTAAGACTAAAAAGATTGAGAACTGTGAATATAATAAAAAGAACCTTCGGGCTCTCGGGGTGGGGGGGGGCATTGCCTCACCCTCAAAATGACAGGGTTGCACGAGGTAATCTCTATGGTCCTTCCACATCGAGTTCCTAAAGAGAGAACTCTCAATCAAAGTCTGCATTGCATTTTCAGTAGTAAAGAGACTGATCTGTATTACTCATCAAACAGTACTCAATGAAAGGTGAGAAATGAGCTCTAGTTTCATTGCTGCGGCATGGAACTGGCTGGACTGGTTTGTTTCCCTGCACTGACCAGCTGTTTGACAACATACAAACATGGCCTCTGGAGGTGGGGACTCTCTGGATTGAATGTGTCCCATGGGTGGTAGAATCAGGTGCTCAGGACTGCGGCTTCAGAGGCACCAGTAGGGTTAAAGACAGTCACAGTATCTGTGGGCTCTGGGAGAGACGCCTTTGAGAACCAAGGTTGCAGAGATCATTGAGTTAAATTCTCACCTTAAGCAAAAGGTTATTCTAGGTTCCAGGTTATTTCTAAACAAGTGCTCACCCTGCCTTAGCTTGCCCTGTTAGGTGACAGGAGACTGTACCTCTAGTATCATCCCTAAAAGTAGTCTGCTGTCATCCCCAAGAGCCATATTCTCTCACTGTTGTACTGTATTTAAGTGAATAAAATAGAGCAGAAGGCAATATGGTCTCTTCTGTCATGCTGGGATAAGACCTGGATGTAACTATGCTACAAATAACTGTGATCTGAGAGTGGGTGTTCAAGCCCTAAGAGATTTCCAGGGCCCAGAGCTCAGGGCTGATGTCAGAAATCACTTCTGGCTTGGCGAGCAGTAGGGGAAGTCTCCATGGGGAAGATGGTGCTTGAGTCGGTACAGTGCTTGGGAGATTGAAAGAAATGCTTTCTCTCTCTCAAATTCTTTAATGTTGGCACGTCTGAGCACCGATAGGCCAAGAGAAGCATACACATGTGTGTGAATGTTTGTGTAAGCTCTTTCTCTGATACACTTGAAGTCCATCCTATATTTGGAAGTCCCTGAAGGTCTACCTTTGCAAAATGCACACTGGCTGCACCATCCTGACTGAATCATTTTACCCTCTCTATGCTCTGGGCAAATCTCTAAGCCTAGAAATTGCAGAAGAGGTGATGCCACACTGATGAAGGGAGTTTCCTTACCTGGGGTCTCCTATACCGAGAAATCCAACCCCCATCCGGATCTGAGGCTCCATGTTATTTACCACAACAACAGTCTATCTAAAGCAAAACTTGTTAACCATTTTTCATGGCCCAGATCTCTTTGGCAGTCTGGCAAGGCCTTTCTCAGAATCCTGTTTTTTGCCTACACTTATAATAGAAGAAAATGCTAAATTCCACTTAGGTGAGTGAAAAGAAATATGTAATTTTTTTACTATCCAAGTCCACAGACTCCCTAAAATTTAGCCACAGACCCCTTGGGGGTTAGGGTTCCAGTGAGAATCTTTGGACCCCAGGTTAAATCGCTTTGGCCTAGAAGAATGTCATGAATGGGAACATTTTTTAATGGAGACAAAGAGCTGGTTGCAGTCAGTGACTGTTCTCTCCCATCCTCTTGTTGTGGTTGTTTCTGTCATGTCCGACTCTTTGTGACGCCATTTTGGGGTTTTCTTGGCAAAGACACTGGAGGGGTTTGCCATTTCTTTCTCTGCTCCCATCCTCTACCACCTCGAACATGATGAGTGATAAACATGGTGACTGGAAGTGGGACTTGGAAAGATTTCTGAGCTCAGAGCCAGGAATGTTTGAGGTCAAGTCCTGCCGCTGTCATATCCTAGCTGTGTGACCTTGGGCAGGTCACTTCCCCTCTGGACCCTAGCTTCTTCTGTTAAGGGAAGCAGTTGGGTGTGGTGGCTTCTGGAGTCTATGAGTGGCACAGTATGTTTTGGTCAGGTCTGCGCCTTAAGAAAACTACTTTGGCTTCTGTGTATATGGTGGTTTAGAGAAGGGGAGGCAAAAAGCCTATTTTGGAGATTTCAGTTTCCCTATGTGTGATATGAGAGAATTGGGCTTCCAGCTTACATCCTGCATCCTTAGAGCTCGTTTTGACAAAGAAAGTAGGGCCTTTTCACTGCTTATGGAGGGTCCTCTACCAGGGCTGATAATCCCCTTGTCTTGTCACAAACACATGGCAGTCATTCTTTCCTCCCTTCCTTTGCCCCTGCAGGTTCATCTACCTGGAATGCCTTCCCTCTTCTCCATCATGTATCTAAATCCTACTCAAGCAGTTAGCTCCCACATTTTTAAAAGGGCTTTCAAGTTTACAAAATGCTTTCTTCTCAATGGCCCTGTGAAGCAGATAGTGTCACAATTATCCTAATTTTATAGAGTAGAAAACACTGTCCAAAAGCCAAAATGGCTTAGCCAAGGTCCCCTAGCAAGCAAACATCAGTAACTGGGGTGAGGTTCCCTCAGGACTGAAATCAGTCAGCTTGAATCCATAGCCAGAGTCCCTCATCCAGAGCAGGGTGGTAAAACTTGGACCATGGAGTAAAACCAGTCAACACAGAAGCTCTCTGAGGGCAGGGTCTTTAGATCTGTAGCAGCCAGCCCAGCACTTTGCACAGAGCAGGGACTTAAAGTCTGTTGAAGTCAGAGGAAGTCCAAGGACCTGGGTTCACATCTCACCTCTGTTGGTTATCTGTGGGACTTTAGGCAAGTCACTTAACATCCTCAGGACTCAGTTTCTTAATCTGTAAAATGAACATGCTGGACAAGATGGTCCTGAGACCCTGTCCAAGTTTAGATCCACAATCCTGTGAGATATGGAATCTCATAAGGGTTTGAGGCACATGATCAGTAGGTGAATTCTTATGGCTGTAGCCCTTTTGGCTGCCTTAAAGGGGATGCTCAAAAGCCTGACCTTTCATTGTGGGGTCAGCGGTGATGATAAGACAAGGACATGGGCAGATATTGGCTGCTTAACTTTCCAAGTGGTCTAGAAAATGCCACATGCCGCTGAACAAACCAGCATTCTCTTCAAACCTTGTTATCTTGGGTTGATTATGATGAGTCAAGGACAGAGCTCAAATAATTGACTTTGCTAAAGAATGATAGACAGGACAAGTAAGTGCTCACAATTAACAATGACATTTGAAGGCATTTGGAAACAAAACAAAACCAATAAACAAACATGGTAGATCTGGACCCAGAAGAGACCTCAGAGGTCATCAGACCAGCCTTCTTCTTTTACAGATGGGGAAACTGAGGTCCCAGGAGAGAAAGTAATTTGGCTAAAGTCTCACAGGTGGTAAGTGTCAGAGGCAGGGGAGCCAGTGTTCAATTGGAATCCAAGACAAGCTAATAACCATTAAATGAAGCAAAAAAAAAACTGGACAAATTCATGTATTTCACCCACATATAACAGGAGAATATTTGTCTCACGTGAAACCTAAAACCAGGATTTTTCCTGGGGACTTCGGGAAACAGCAAAGATCGTGGGTCCATTGGCCTTTGGTTATGGCACCACATTCAAGTTTCCTTTGAATCACAGCTTTCTGTGGCTTTGGCCAAATCACCTCATCTCCCTGGGCCTCGGTTTTCCCATCTGTAAAGTGAAGAGGTTGATCTATGGCGTCTGAGGTCCTTTTCAGTTTAGGTCCTTTCTACATCAGAAGTAATCAAACTTTTCTGTATTTCTCTCTACTCTCTGCACAGAGTTGCCACACCATTTGGAGGGTTTGAGAAAGCTTCTAAAATGGTCAGATTCAAAGTTCCCGATTTTGACCTGCTCCTGCTAACAGATCCCAGGTTCATGGCTTTTGCCAACCCTCTTTCCAGCCGGCGGTCCTTCAACAGAACTCCAAAAGGGTGGATATCAGAGAATGTTCCCATAGTGATCACTCCAGTGCCAGTAGAGGAGAATACGGTGCCAGAAACAGATGACCTGTAAGAAGAAGCAAAAGCTCTAATGCTCCATCCCCCACAACTCACCGTCTTACCAGGATGCTTAACCACAGATGCTCCTTGTTTGCCTTAGAATCTAATTGGTAACCATTTAAACTGCAATATTCCAAATTTTGTTTCATTTACTCATAGAATATTAATAAAGTCATTAAGAACCCGATCAGCAAAGTTGCTCATCTCGTGTGTTTTCATTCATATTTCTTGTACCTGGACCAGATATAAACAGAATTCAGTCTTTAATTAGCACAATCCTATATGTATAAATGAATACATTTTGACTTAACACTTCTGTGGAAGGGTGAGAAAAGAAATAAAGAGAAGTTCATGTAGGTAGCTTGGAGGAGTTCGGACCAGTGAAGTAGGTCAGGTATTGACTTAGGGGAAAAGAAATCTGGAAGACATTGAAGAAAACTTGAAGGTAATCCAGACACTTGTCTAAATTCTACTTCTGGGTGGAAAGAAGTGTAGGATCAGGGCTATTTAAGGAGTTAATGAAAGGATTCAGGAGGATAGAAGAGGCATTAGGGAGTAGAAGCTGGAGGAGCAGACTCAGGTAGGTTCAGGAGAAAATCTTGGCAAGATGAAGCAAATTAAGAAAAGATGAATGGAGCAATTGGAGGACTAAGCAAATCGATAGAGTTGGTGGGTGGGACAAACTGGTTAAATAGATGGGAGGCTGGTGCCAGACGGAAGGGGAAGTGAATATGAATGTGGAATTGTCTTTGAGACTAAGGAAGGTAGGTTGAATAGGCTTTGTCAAGCTATTAAGAGGTGATAGATAATAGGCTGTAAAAATTTTAGCTAAATGCTTAGGGTCAAGCTATAAACCCCCTCAAACAGATTTTTTTCTTTTGTTTTTCTTTTTAAAAAAAGGCTAAAAAATCTCTGTCATTATGGTGAATAGAAGAAATTGTGTAATGACTTCAGTCTTGATGATGCAAGTTGGTATTTTCCCCAGGAAATACGGAGACTTGAGGGAGTAGGGGGGGTGGGGGAATGGAGACAAGGATCTCTAGGCCTGAGCAAATCTGTACTAGGGATAGCCTAAGGAAGGTCTGGAAAGGCTCCTTAGTCCGTCCTTATCAGGTAAACCTTCCTGAAGGTTGGATATGAGAAATCACTGGACCTAAGAGCCCACCTTTTCCCAGGCAACCTCTAATGGAGCAACTCAGGGATTCATGTTTGGCCCTGTCCTGTTGAACATTTTAATCAATGACTTGGGTGAAAGCACAGATGACAGGCTCAACACATTTGTGCTGGGAAGGATAGCTAACCCAGTGGATGAAAGAACTGAGATCCCAAAGGATCTGTGTATAGTATGATCAAATTCAATGGAGATTAAGGTTTGTGATTGGGTAAAAAAAATCTGCCTCACTAGTACAAGATGCATGAAGCGTGATGAGAGGATGTTTATTCTGAAAGAGTTCTGAGGGTTTAAATGGATTGTAATCATGATATGAGTCAGCAGTGTGATGAGGTAACCCCCAAAGTGAATGGGATCTTAGGCTGCATTAAATGAGGGAAAGCATCTGAAAACAGGGAGGTGACACTCCCTCCATAGCCTACCCTCACCAGACCTCAGAAGGAGCATTTGGTTCACTTCTGGATGCCAGAGTTTAAGAAAATGTTTGTAAGTTGTAGAGCGTCCAGAGGTGGGCAAGCAGGATGGTGAAGTCCTTGTCGAATGAGGACATGAACATGGATGTTCCCTGTTGAGAAACTGGGCATGTTTACCCTGGGGAAAAAACCTGGGGTGGGTGGGGGGGAAGAGGGATTGACTTAATAGCTGCCTACAAATATTTGAGAGGCTGTTATGTGGAAGAGCGATTAGGCTTGGAACAATGGGTGGAAGTCTCAGATGCCAATTTAGGCTTCATATCAGGAGAAAACTACCTAACATGTAGAAAGAGCCCAAAGTAAATGGGTTTTCTTGAGAGGCGGAGACTGCCCGGAAGGTCTTCAAGCAGAAGCTGGACACCCTCTTGTTGGGTGTGTTTATAGTAGGGATTCTACTGATGGGTGAGTTAGCCTAGAGGGCTCCTGGTCTCCTCCAGCTCCTCAGTACTGGGATTGACAGGAAGAGGTTCTAAAAATTCTTCCAGGAATTGACAGAGTCTGAGACACATACATCTCCAGTAGGAGACTCTAGGGAGAGGGAGACAGGAAGGTTCTCAATCTACCCCAGTTCCCCTCCCTCACTGCCAGCTTCTTACCCACCCCATCTCTGACCCCAGGGGCAGGATCCTGGAAGCTTGGAATTGCAAGTGACCTTAAAGAACATCTCAGTCCCAACTACATATGAACCAGGAACCTCTCCACGATGTACCCAGCACATGGTCAAGGCTTTGCTTCAAATCTTCCTACCCCAGTGCAGCGGGACACAACACGTTTGTTATTTTTGGTTGTTTCAATCATGGTGGACTCTTCATGACCCCCTGTGCGGTTTTCTTGGCAGAGATACTAGAGTGGTTTGCCATTTCCTTCTGCAGCTCATTTGACAGATGAGGAAACTGAAGCAAACAGGATGAATTGACTTGCCCAGGGTCACACAGCTGTTAAATGTCTGAGGCCAAATTTGGACTCAGGTCTTCCTATCTCCAGGCTTGGCGCTCTATCCACTGTCCACTTTTGGAGGAGATTTTTTCTTATTTTTAATCCAAATTGTCCTCTTTACCCCCTCTGCCCACTTGGTAGGAGTAGCTGTACCTCGGGAGGGCCAGACAGAGCAAATCTAATCCCTCTTCCACATATTGCCCCTTCAACTAGTTGAAGGCACTTTTTTTTCTCCTTCTTTGATAACCACTGAGTAAATAAAGATGAAAACAAAAGCTTCTAGGTGTCAACAGCAACATCATCATGGTGTAATGAGCAGAAAGGGTTCTGGATCTGGGGTCAGAGGTTCTAGGCTCAAGTTTTGGCCCTGCTATTGTATGACCTTGAACCAGTCATTTAACCTCGGTGGGCCTCCTATCTTCATCTATAAACTCCAGAGCTAAGACCAAATGACTGCTAAGGTTCCCCCCAGGCATCTTCCATTGGTGTAGGAGTCTGTCCCTTCCTGCTGCTGCCTCCTAGCCAGCCTCCTCAGGTGAGAAGACCTCATAGCACAGGTGTGCTGGGGCACATGAGTGCCCTGAGGAAAGCTGCTTAGGTCCAGGCCTGGTGTTTTCCATCTGGCCCAAAGCAACCGCTTTCATTTGTAATAGAACAAGGCATCTTCCACCTCCTGTTGCCAGTTAATCTCCCAACTGGAGTATTGTGTAAAGAAGGGCCCTTCACTCCGGCTACACCAATCCTGTACTTGATGGACCTTCTCATGTCTGGTCATGCCCTTCACATCCCAGTGACTCTGAAATCCCATAGATTGTCTTCCAAACCCCACTCCACATCTCTTATCACCTGATTGCTCATCCCCATCTGCCTCAACCTACCACTCCAAAGTTTCATCCTAACTCCACCCAACCCTTCCACGGTGCCCTCTAAAATGCCTGTTCCTTAGACAACAATCTTTCCTTCTTCTTAAATCTTTTCCTCTCCTCTTCTTTCCATCTACGAAGTCTTGCTAAAACCTGCCCTTCTCCAGCTTCCCTGGCCACCCTTTCTAGTACTGGCTGTAGCTTCACTCATTCTGCTTGGCTCTCTGGTTAAGGCAGGGGAGTTGGAATACTCCTTGTTCCCCATTGCCACTTCCAGGTTCTCCTCCTTCCTCCATCACTCAGTAGTCTCTCTTCCTTTGAAGTTCATGATATTCATATCCACCATCAATTCAAAATCCTGGTAGACCCCCAGGTCTATAGACTTTCCTCAGTGAGTTTGATGTCTGACTTACAATTTTTCTCTTCTCCCTAACTCCTGCCCTCATACTAGGAAACTCCAACACATGTATTGATTCACCCTCAAGTACCCTAACCACTCAGCTCTTCAACCTACTCTCTTCCCATGAATTATTCCTTCAGCCTGCTTTAGCAGCACACAAAAATGGCCATACCCTAGATCTTGCCATCACTCACAAATTAATCACCTCTTTGTTCAAGAATTTTGAAATTCCCTTCTCTCACTATAATCTATTGACTTTTTACCTTTCCCTCTCCCTTAGATAACCCTACTCTTCATCCTCACCTTTGATGCCTTGACTCCTCAATTCTCTCCCAGGCCATCTCCTCTGTACTAGCTACTCTCTCCTCTTCTCCTTATCTTAACTCCTTGGTGAACCAATACAACTTTACAATAACCTCCTCTATTGAATTTCTAGCCCCATTTATCATATCACCAATTATGCCCAACCAAACCTCAGCCTTGGGTCACTCCCACCATCACCATCTTCACACGCGTGCAGCTGAGTGAAGGTGAAAAAAATCATGCAACCTTTCTGACTGGTTCCACTACAAATTTATGTTACATAACCTCAATTGGGCCCTCACTGCTGCAAGGCATAGTATGCCTCCCTTATCACTCACTAGCTCACTCTCCACAGCAATTATTCCAAACCTTCTTATCCCTCCTCAAACTTCCCATGGTTTCCCCTCCTCCCACTCAGCTAAAAAGCTTGCCTTTTATTTCACAGAAAAAAAATTGAGACCAGTTGTGAAATCCCTCTTCTCCCCTCCTCCTCATCCCCCATCATTCAGGGGCCTTGTGCCACCCTCTCCTTCTTCACCTCTGTTTCACATAATGCAGTGGCCTGACTGCTCACCAAAGCTAACCTCTCTACTTGTTCAAGCAATCCCGTTTGGTCTCCTCCAGCACATTCCTCCGTCTGTCCTCCCCATTCTTTCACTTATTTTCAGTCTCTCCCTCTCTACCAGCTCATTTCTTATTGCTGACAAACACACCCGTGTCTTCCCCATCCTGAAAACAATCCTCATTTGATCCTTCCCTCTCTGCTATCCCCCTACAATGCCTCTACCCTTTGTAGCTAAACTCCCCTCCTGCAGACAGTACTTGGGTGACAGACACATGCACACTACCAGTAAGCCACACCTGAACGTTCCCAGGAAACCCTCTTTGTGGCATGGCAGCAAATGCCCACACGCAGGGAACAGCAGCAAATCAATGAGAGACCCTGAAAGTTTTCTCCTGGGTCAAGAGGAGTGGAAGGCGGGCAGGGAGTTAGGAGTGGCCTTCTCCTCCAGTGGTAGCTGTGAGATATCATAATTCAGTATCAAGAG